CAGCCTGAGTGACAGAGCAAGAATCTGTCTCAAAAAATATATATATATATTCTATACTAAAATGCAATGAAATAAGTCATGTATTTATCAAGTACTTATTGAATGTCTGCAACATGATATGCAAAGTTCTGGGACCTGGAAATCTGGTAGTGAACCAAATAATTGAGGCCCTTGCCCTTAGGGAGCTTATATTCTTTGGGGAAGACAGATAATAAATATAAATACAAACAAGCAGAAGAGATAAAATAGTCTGGAGGAATATAAAGCAATAAGAAGTATAGGGAGTGTAGAATGTGTTAGCTATTTTATGTAATATTACAAGAGAAGGCCTCTTTGATAAGCAGTTCGATTAAATTAAAAGGAGCTAGAATGGATTCAAAGAGTTTGTCTTCCTATAGCATTGCTCTCTTCTTTCCCATATTTGTATTGTAGAAATAATTATAGATTTTAACTAATTATGAATAAAAAGATCATTATAGTTCCTTTTTTTCCTGAAAATCATCAGCATTCTGTTCTAACAAATGTTATTAAATTTCCAATATGAACTTATTTATACTGCATTTAATGTTACTTTTTTTTTTTTTTTAAGAAAGGGTCTTGCTGTGTCACCCTGGCTAGAATGTAGTGCTATCACCATAGCTCAATGCAATCTCAAACTTCTGGGCTCAAGCAATCCTCCTGCTTCAGCCTCCTCAGTAGCTGGGCCTACAGACATGCAGCACCACTCCTGGATAATTTTTCTATTTTTTGTAGAGATGAAGGTCTCACACTTGCTCAGGTTGATCTCGAACTTCTGGCCTCAAGTGATCCTCCCACCTCAGCCTCCCAAAGTACTGGGATTATAGGCATGAGCCACCGTGCCCAGCCTACATATTTAATTTTAAAATTAAATAATTTTAATATATGTATATGTGTTTGTTTCTGTTGCTTGTAGCACAATACCTGAAATAGTAATATATAAAGAGACAAAACTTATTTCTTATAGTTATGGAGAAGTACAAGGCTGATAGGCTCATCTGGTGAGGGCGTTTTTGCTGGTGGGGACTCTGCAAGGCACGGAGTGACCAGGGAACTGAGAGCAGGTGAGCTCAGGGCTCTCTTCCTCTTCCTATAAAGCCACCACTTCCACTCCCATAATAACTCATTAATCCACTAATCCATTCATTCAAGGGCAAGCCTTCATGATCCAATCACCTCTTAAGGGCTCACCTCTCAATACTGCCACATTGGAGATTAAATTATAACATGAGTTTCAGAGCGGAGAAACATTTTAAACTGTAGCAGTACATAATTGTATAATAATCACCACAATTAAACTAATTAACATATCCATCACATTTCACGTTTACCATTTTCTCTTTTTTATGAGAACACTTACTATCTACCCTCTTAGCAAATTTCAAGTATACCATATAGCTTTTTTTTTTTTTTTGAGACAGAGTCTCGTTTGTTGCCCAGGCTAGAGTGAGTGCCGTGCGTCAGCCTAGCTCACAGCAACCTCAAACTCCTGGGCTCAAGCGATCCTTCTGCCTCAGCTCCGAGTAGCTGGGACTACAGGCATGCACCACCATGCCCGGCTAATTTATATATATATATCAGTTGGTCAATTTATTCTTTCTATTTATAGTAGAGACGGGTCTCGCTCTTGCTCAGGCTGGTTTTGAACTCCTGACCTTGAGCAATCCACCCGCCTCGGCCTCCCAGAGAGCTAGGATTACAGGCGTGAGCCACCGCGCCCGGCCCCATATAGCTTTTTAAACTACAGTCACATTGCGGTACATTAGCTCTTAGAACAACTCATAATTGAAATTCTGTACCTTTGACCAACATCTCCTCATCTCCTCCTTCCCCAACCCTGACAACCACTATTCTATGCTCTGCCAACACACTTCTTAATGTGTTATTGTAATCATTACAACTATAACCAAAAGTCATCACTTCTGTAGCTACTCCATGAAGCACAAAGATGTTGAAAGTCATCAATATATTTTGCTTAATTCAGGCATAACACGTTTGTCTGAAGTACTGGTTCTGGAATCCTTTAAAAAAAAAATCTGTCCAATGAATTATGTGCTTGATATAATGTATCTATATGGTATTAAAATTAAATTGTAACATGATTGCTTCAAATTTTTTATTCTGTAAAACAATTTGACACTAAGGTAAAATTCTACATCAATAACTAAAACACATAGTAAATTTCCCAAATAGGTCTTTGTTGTAAAAAAAGCTCCACAACATTATAGATAACATACCTAATTTTAAGTTAAACTTTTAAGTTAATTTTTAAGTTAAATGTGGATTATGAGGAATGACTTCACAACCTCTGGAAGCATTTGCTTTTGCCACTAACTTCCATTCTTTTATGAAGTAGTCAAACATAGCCCATTTGAAAGTAGAAAAAGAACTTTCAGAAATAGAAGTTCTAATTTGTACCTTGGTAACATGAATTTTATACTTATGAATATGAACAATCACAAAAAAGGTATGGATCGTTTTAATAATTGCTTAGAATTGTAGACATTTGACCTTTGACTTTAATAAATAGATTTCAGTGTCTTCAGTGAATAAAAATAAAGGCTAATCTCCTTGACCTTACACAAAGAGCCATTATACCATCACTGAGAGGCCTAAACAATCTTGTCATTAGCGGCTCTCGCTCATTTTAAAGCCTGGAGAAACATCTCTGAACTATTTTATTTTCTTTGTTTTCTAATTTATTTTATTTTGTTTTTTTTTTTTCTTTTTCATTAGCAAAGACTTCAGGATTTATTTATTTTGAACCATAATCTTTGTTAATAAACAATGAACACTGGATTGCTTTTCTCTTTTAATTCTGAACGTAAAGCCCAATACGCCCACGATGTACACGGGCCGCCGCTCCAGCCCTCACGTTAAGATGCCGCAGCGAGGCTCTCCCTGCGTCCTCACGGAGACCTGAGCGACAGGAGGCTGGAGCCGCGCCAGGCACCGCGAGCGCGCCTCGCGCCCTCCTCCCTCGGCCGCCTCGCCAGAACGTCGGCCACGCCTCCCGCGCGGCGTCTGCGCCTGCGCGACCGCGCACCCTGACGGAACAGGGGCGGGCTTGGACGGAGGCGAGTCGGCGAGGGGCGTCCGGGACCGCCGGACTCCGCGCTCCCGCCGCGCGGCGCCGCGAGCCGCGAGGAGCAGGACGCGCGGCGGCGCCGAGAGCCGGCGGGCGCGGGCAGCCCGGCGGGGCGGGGCGCGGAGGAGGCGGGCTCTCCGGCGTCGCGGTCTCCGGCCGCCTCGCTCGCGGCTGCCGAGGGACGTGACCATGTACTGGCGCGGCGCGGCGCTGGCGGGGACGCGGCTCCTTCGGAGCGGGAGCTGCTCGGCAGGCCGGCTCGGCGGCGCGGCGGCCTCTGGGTACTGGCCGCGCCGGCTGCGCGGGGCGGGTCTGGGGCGGGGCGGGCCGGGCCGGCGGGCAGGAGGGAGCCCGGCGGCGTGCGCGGCAGCCCGCTGGGCCTGGGGACGGGCCGGAGCCGCGCTCTCCTCGCCCGGCGCCCTAACACATCGCAATTTCAGATAGACAGTGAGTGGTTTTAGGCCGAGCGCGTCTCGGATGTCGCACCGGACGTGCTTGGAGCAAAGGAGGCACCCTGTCATCTGAGATTCCAAGTTAATCGGTCGTCCTGCGTTTCTCTGTTAGACCTGGCCACCGCTCCGCGGGCGGGGAAGGTGACGAGTCCTACGAAGTGGCCAAGGACCTGAGGACCGGGGCCTGTGCTGGTGGCGCCCCCGGCGAGACGAGAACGGTGCTATCCGCACCTCCCTGCAGCTTGTGCCCCGCGGCCTGCCACGGCGCATGCGCGCTCGGGGGCGCTCCCCGTTGTCTTCGTCTGGGCCCTCTGCGGGTCCCGGGCCGGTGGGGACCCCCTCGGGAACGCGCTGACCACGTGGTGTTAACTGTTTGGTAGATCCTTGAGGTCCCGTGGTGCTTTTTCTGATATGTGTCCCTGGGGCATGTGGCACTTTGCCCACTTAGCACATGCTGGGCACTCCGTAAACGTAGCATGACTAGTTGGTGCTTCATCAGTGTTGAAATGTTCGCTGTGCACTCACTTCCTCTGTGGATGCATAGGTGATAATTTTTACAGAGGTCAACTAGGAATCGAAGAGGAAGGGTGCCTTCCAGAAACTTTCTCTTTTATTTGGCTGGGAAGGGGATTAAAAGTGCACCTACTATCTCCTGTCACTACCCAAGGAAGCAATCTGTTATCAAAGTTCTACTGGAGAGCCTGTTCGATAATAGTGTGGAAAAATAAGTAAATAAAAAATGCCATTACTCCAATGGGCTGCTAAAAAAAAATTAAAAAGAAGGCTGTGACACATGGTTTGGGATGACAGTTAAATGCTGGACTTGATGAAAAGGGTTTGTTTTCTTAGTTGATAAACCAGATACAGATTGCTGACTTATTCCACCAAAATTCCTTCTTAGGTCCAGGCCCCCGCTGCCTAACCTTTTCTTTTCTGGTTTAGGCGTCAGGAACTAACCCTGCTTTTTTCTTAACCCTTTGCACTCACTTGCTTTTTTCTCAATTTCTTTATTCTACTCAGGATTTAATTTTTTAAATACCCCAGATTTTATAAAGCGTGGCAGTAGAATAAAAAACTGGAGTTTCTTTTCATACAAACTTATTTATTTGGATTTTTTAATATTTCAAATTATTGATACATTCAAAGAGTAATTTTAATCTCTATAATTTTTCATGGTGTATTTTTTGAAACATTCACCCACATGAAGACCTGGTTTACATTCACATGCTTCACAAATATAAATCGTCTCTCTTCTTCCTCCTTTGATTTTTCTGTTAGAACAAACAACACAATCTTTGTGTTTTTTGTTAAGGTGAGGTGTGATTATATGGAGCTTTCCATCTAAACGTTGCTCTAAGTTAGTGGATAATAATCTACCCCTGGAAGTTAGTGTACCATCTCTGCATTTACATTTTACTTGTCCTTTCATGCTAATGAAAACAAGAAAAGATACCGGACAAATAGACAAAAATCCCCCTTCCCCCCCGCAGTGAAACTACGTGTCAGGTGTGGCTAGTGTGGACATACGAGTTGCTACAGCTACCAATGTCGAGTCACACTAGACATCTGAGTGCAAAGAGTTAAAGCTGCACTCCCCCCCCCCAATTGGCTGCAGTCCCCCCAGCTTGCTGCTCCTAACTCCTTCCTTAGTTAAACACACAGGACTTTTTTGTTTTGAAGATTTTCTTGCTAATCTATTGGGAAGCAAGGAATAATAGATTGTAAGCATTGGGTAGTTATAATGTTTAGTTGCAGTAGTTCCTGTCTCTCTTACTCTTTGTTATAACTGAAGGTGATGTTTCTTATAGCTTCCTTATTCTAAGTGTGTGGAGTATCGCTATACAGTATTCCCCCCACTTAACCCATGAGGGATACATTCCAAGACCCCTAGTGGATGCTTGGTCCCCTAGTGGACCCCTAGTGGATGCTACAGATAGTACTGAGACCTGTCTGTCAGGGAATTCTGGGAGAAAAAATAAAATAAAATAGAAAGAAAGGGGAGGGAGGGGGAGAGAGAAAGGAAAGGAAAGGAAAGGAAGGAAGGAAGGAGGGAAAGAGAAAGAACTGGACCCTGTATATACTATGTTTTTTCCTATGATAAAGTTTAATTTATAAATTAGGCAGAATTAAGAGATGAACAATTATAACAATAAAGCAGAACAATTATTTTCATAATAAAACAGTCATTTCAAGAGCCCCTTGCTGAATCTTTGTAGAGGCTGAATGCTTTCTGGCTTAACACATTGCCAACATTGTAACACATTTTCTGTTCATGTGTCTAAGTTTAATGCTTTACACACTTATCATGGACCGGTAACTTTTGTGGTTCGATGTGTGATAGCAAAACTAGCATGTATTTCTTTTCCTCTTCACAATTGCACAGAAGCTTTGCTTGTACTGCAGATCTTAGTAACCTTAGCATATGATTTTTTCTTTCTTATTAAGTGGAGAACTTTTACTTTTGCACTTAAGGGAAGCATTTTAGGGCTGCTTTTTGGCATATCCTAATTGCCAGCATCATTATTCTTGTTCTTTGGAGCCATTACTAAGTAAAATAAGGGTTACTTGAACACAAGCACTGCCATACCCAGAGGGCTACTAAGTGATTAATGGGTGGGTAGGGTATACAGCGTGGATGTGATAGACAAATGGAGAATTTCCATCCTGGGCACAACACAGCTAGATGGCACAGGATTTCATCACGCTACTCAGAACTTAAAACGTATGAATTGTTTATTTCTAGAATTTTCCATTTGATAGTTTTGGACCACAGTTGACCTTGGTAACTGAAACTAAAGATAAGGGGAAACTTATATATAGCAGATGTTCATCATCCAAGGATCACATTTATTAGAGCCATTTAGAGTGGATTAACTTTGAAAAAGTGAAAGAAAACATTATAAAAAGTAACTCATATTTGAGGACATTGAAGTTTAAATGCACTCACTAATGAATGACTAAATTGTTAATTTGGAGAAAAAATTTTTCTATCAAAATTTGAGTTTTGCAAGATAATCAGGATATTTTTTTAAAATATTTGAAGCTTTAATTCTTTACTTTCTTCTTCGATATTTGAGTAATTCTCTTTTGAAGCATCTGTTATATCTTATGCTGTTGTGATATTTGTATAATAATTTCCCTCTGCAGTTAGTGTGCATCATGGTAGGTGACACTGTTCCAACAGTGCAGCAAGGCCTGGCTGGCCAAGAAGTCACGATGCGTGGATGGGGAAAGAAAGGTGCTAGGGACAAACAGATCTGACAGTGTTAAATGGGCTGGTGTTTTAGTGAATATTTTCCTGACAACAAATGCTTTCTTTTATAAGCTCCCAGCAGCTAGGTTTTGGATAATAAATACTGAGATAATGAGGGGCCCTATAAGCAGTAAGTAATGGTAGTAATGTCAAAGGTTATTGAACACTTACTATATGTAAGGCACTCTTCTACTTTCTGTATATCAATTCATTTAAGCCTCACAAAACCCTCTGAGAGATGAGAGTGATTGCTGTACCCATTTTATAGACTGGAATATTTGGAGCTATAGACTGTTGTGGTTGAGCTACCTTAGTTTCCTTAAAATCTTTAAATATTTGTAGGTTCTCTGCCTCACAGAATGTTCATGGAGTTCTGTCAAGTTTTAATAAGAAAATGGAAACTATATTTTTTAACCAATGGTCAGGTCATATGGCCAATAAATAGGACACAATATTTGAAATTTGATGGTCATAAATGAAAATGTGACGGGCTTTAAACACAGTAAATATGATATTATTAAATAATTTAGGGCATTGGAAAGCTAGTTAGATAAGCACCTAGGCCCTTTTGGTTTTAGTAAACAAATACTTTGTAAACTGATTTTTTGTACTGATAATAAGTAAAATTTTTTTCTATTTTTTAGGTTAGGATATATTTATGTATAAGATTTTCTTCAAATAGGACTCATGATAAATTACCTTCAATGCTTAATGAACTATGTTGACCTTTTTAATTCCATTTAGGATGGGGAGCAGCATATCATCATCTTTGGGGAAGTCAGCAACTGCTCCTATGAACCAGATCCAAGTGAGTGATACGGGAGATGTGGGAAAAAACTTTCCTTTGTGGAAAACGAATTATTTTACATATTTACTTTGCTTATTCACTATCCGGACTTAATATAATTTAGCAAAAAATGAATTACTAAATTATTATTTTAAAATCTGTCAAAATAATCCATGTAACAAAGAAGTCCGAGATCATTTTGTTAACAAAATTTGTGAGATTTATTTGTAATGAAGTATTCACTCCCTCTAAGTTGGATCTATGAGCTTGACTGCTCCTTTTCATCAGACCCACCTCAGGCCTGTTCCTGATACCAGTCAAGCTGCCCTTAGCTAGGGATCCTATTTGATCTTGGCCTGGGCAGCTGCTTAACAGCTTTCTTCCCTACCATAGAACAAGCAGTAGTTACTCCATAAATGATCCTCTCAGGCATGCTATACTGTGTTCTCTTGTCCTCTCTCTTTTACTGCAAAGCTTAGTTATTCTGCCTCAGAAACTTTCTCTTATATATTTTTCTTCCCTTGCAGCTTATAAGACATATTCTTTTTTTGTTTGTTTGTTTTTGTTTTAAGACAGAGTCTCACTGTGTTGTCGGGGCTAGAGTGCTGTGAAGTCAGCTTAGCTCACAGCAACCTCAAACACCTGGGCTCAAGCGATCCTCCTGTCTCAGCCTCCTGAGTAGCTGGGATTACAGGCATGCGCTACTATGCCCGGCTAATTTTTTTTTATATATATATTTTTAGTTGGCCAATTAATTTCTATTTTTAGTAGAGACTGGGTCTCGCTCTTGCTCAGGCTGGTCTTGAACTCCTGACCTTGAATGATCTGCTCACCTCAGCCTCCCAGAGTGCTAGGATTACAGGCGTGGGCCACCTTGCCTAGCCAACATATTCATTTTTTTCTTTCTTGCTTACCACCCACTATCACCACATTAAAAAAAAATTTGCCTTTAATTGAATTGGCTAAACGTATAGCTGTTGAATGTAACAGTAATACTAGAAACCTGAGAGGGAATTGCCTTTTTTAAAAAATAAATATATCATGAAATATAAAGTATAAAAAATACATCATGAAATATAAAGTTCATAAAAAATACATCATGAAATATAAACTTTTGGAAAAGTTGGGAAGAGGGTTCAAGAAACCCTGACATTGTCATCCTGAGTTTCAGCTCACTTTGGAATCTCTTTGTCAGCGTTTTTACTACGCATCAGCACCCATGGCACTCGTCTCTCTCTAACAGTGGTCTCAGTGTGCCTGGAACCTGGAGCAGCATGGTGGGGGAAGAGCACTGCTTTGGTATTATAACAGGGTTGGGTCAAATCCTGGTATTGTGAACCTGTCAGCCTGTTTTGTCATCTGTAAAATGGATTCATTAATATTATACATCTCTCTTTTATGGCTGGCCCTCCCTGAGATAGACTTTTATACTAAATATTATGAGTAAGCAGAAGGGAAAGTATAAAAACAGAACAACTTGCAGACAGCTAGGCTATAACTTAGGACCCTTATGACACCCAAGGGTGGGTACAACTTCTGAAGCGCTTTGTCTGGGTACTATACTTTCTGATATTTGGCCTTCATCTCGAAGGTGCTGCTATGACCACTTACCACAGAAGAACAACTTAGACAAATGCCTGGTTACTAAATCTATCCATTTAAAATTTCTTAAAGGACCTAGCCATTCATATATCTAAAAACAAAAAAAACAAATAAACTTAGGCTGTGCAGATGCATAGCAAAATCTCATGGTCATTGTGGTAAAGGTCTGGAGACTAGTTTCCAAACCAGGATGATATAAGTATCATCTGGGAAAGTTTTCAAAAACTATAGTTATTGACTTCTGTCTCAAAGTCACTGAATCAGCACTTCTGGAAGTAGCTTTTCCAGGACCAGTGGTACCAGAATATCAATGCAGTAACAACAGCATTCGCACTATAAATATGTGTAGGAAGGCATGAAAGTGGAGGAGTATGTGATTGTTTATACCTGCATCAGTGAAAGCCTCACATTTTAAAGAGAGCTCACACATTATTCCTCGCCACTGAAAGTTATGGAAGGTGCCCTCTTGGCCTTAGCATCATCTTTCTAGAAACTTCTGTGCCATGAGAGCCAAGTGGAAGAAGAAATGAATGTTCAGGCTGAAGCACAAAAGGAAGAGATCCAAGTGTCCCACTTTTTGTGCACATGTGAAGGCCACAAGAGCAGAAACATGGAATGCCAGAGCCTGGGGACGCTGGTACAGGTTATTGGGCTGCATGCTACTGTCTAGAACTAACCTCTCAGTGGATCTAGAACTTCATTGTCATCCGATCGCCAAGACCATCTCTAAGAGAGCCATCTTGCTCATACCAAAACAGTCCTCGTTGGTCCTTTGCCCTGGACCTGACATTTTGGACTAGTTCTAGTCTCAGTTGTGGCTCAGTGTAACAAGTATACAATAAATCATATCTTCTGGTGTTTAAAAAAAAAAAGAAATGTATAGAAGGTAAGGAGTTAACTCCTTCTGAGTGCCTACTGAATATTAGAGAAGCAGTATATCAGAGAATAAGTAGCTGGACTGTAGGGCCAGATTTGCCTGGGTTCAAATTGCAGGTCTCCCACTTACTATTTTATCTTACTCTGTACTTCATTTTCCTCATCTACAAAGTGGGCATGATAACAGGACCTGTATCAGGATTATAGTGATGCTTAAATGGCCTAGTAAAAGGTAAAGTATTGAGAATGGTGCCTGGCACATAGAAATGTTTGCTCAATATGAATTGGCTATGATTATTATTTGTCATTATCATTAACATTTACTATTCCATGTCTGGTACTTTCTATTTGTTATATCTTTTTTTCCTAATAGCATTCCTTTGAAGTGAATAATACCCTCAGTCTACAGGTGAAAAAATAGATGATAGAGACTTAGTTTGAGCCTGAATTATGAGACTCCAAAATCTATACCCTTGCTACAATAGTATGATATTATTCTAAGAGTTAATGTCTAGAATTAAGATGATTTTTTAAAATTTTATTTCAGGAAACAATTTCTGATCATTGTGTAGTGATTTTCTCAAAAACATCCTGTTCTTACTGTAAAATGGCAAAAAAGCTTTTCCATGACATGAATGTTAACTATAAAGTGGTGGAATTGGACATGCTTGAATATGGAAGCCAGTTTCAAGATGCTCTTTACAAAATGACTGGTGAAAGAACTGTGAGTATAACCTCTGTGGTACTATTCCTCATTAATAGGCTGTGCCCTGGATTACCCAGAGCTTAGAATCTGTGTTAGGAAAATGAGCCAGACATTGTCTGAGTATCTTACATTGATAAAGAAACTGCGGATCTGGGAACTAGATTCTTGGAGTAGCAAACAGCAGAATTAATTCTTTTTTTTTTTTTATTCTTACCGTGTGTGTGTATGCGCACCTGCTTGCATGCGTGCGTGGGGGTCGACAGGAGCAGGTGGGGTAATGGTGCTGTCATAAGAGCTTGTCTATGGTGTTGAAGGTCCTCTTGGAAATCTTTGCAAGATAAAGGTATCCCTCCTGCCCTTGGACAATACAGACCAGAAGTTGGCCTTCAAGTACTGTGCTAATAGGAGTGCTTTAATGCTTCATGTTTATAGGCTCTTACATGTAGATTTTTCCATAATATGCATAATAAAAAATATACAATATTGCCACTTTCCTTCTTGTTTATTATGCATGGAAGAAGTTTATAGCCTACTCTGCCCCTTTAGTAAACAAATGTAAGACATAACCATTTAAACATTATTAATAATTAGACTGCTTAGTTTGTTTATCTTTTATAAACCATAGTGATTAGGAAGAAAGGTTTTAGAATCAAATTGTCCTGGATTTGAATCTCAGCTCTTTCATTTACTATCATTGTGATCTTGGGCAAGTTCCTGGGCCTCATTTTCTTCCAAAATCATGCTAAAGTGATACCTACTCCAAGAGTTATAAAGATTTAAAAAGCTAATTTTTGAAAGAGCTTAGTGTGGTGTCTGGCTCATAAAAGTACCCAGAGTGTGAACATCTATTATTATGTGAAATGATCTTACAGTTCTGATGCTGGGGGAAGCCTAATCTATCTTTTATTTGTCCAACAGGTTCCAAGAATATTTGTCAATGGAACTTTTATTGGAGGTGCAACTGACACTCATAGGCTTCACAAAGAAGGGAAATTGCTTCCATTAGTTCATCAGTGTTATTTAAAAAAAAGTAAGAGGAAAGAATCTCAGTGACATAGGTACTCAAAACTTTGCTAGTAAATATCAGTTATTTAGAGTGATAATGCCTGAGAGTGTCTTTATAATGAGGATGTTTTAACTATATTAATTCTCTTCATGAAGATGTAAAAATAATGAACAATAAATTGCAGTGGAAACCTCATCTTCCTACTTGCCAATTCTTGAGTAAAAGGGATAGTATTTAAAAGATAAGGAAAGAATATGTTTTATTAGGAATTTATATATGAATTTTACAACTGATAGAAGATAAGCATTTGGAATTCTTTATTCTCTATAGTTTTCAGAGTTAATTCTTTACCTTCCATAGCTTTCAGTGGTAAGGACTGATTTGTGATTTCTCTTTAGAATTTAATGTCTCTCAGTGATACAGTTGTGAAGTAGGTAGGGATATCTTGTACCATTTTGTGACAAGCCTTCACATCTTGTACTTGTAGAATAATAGAAGCATATTAAATTTGTAGCATGGAATGAAATTTATCTTAGAGAAACTACTCATTTAATGTGTCTTAGTAGTTCCAGGGAACAGAACTATACCTATGAGCAGAAATTAAATGGAAGATTTCAGCATTTTATGAGGATGCACTTTTGAAACAGTTCAGGAATATACTTGAGTTATATTCTGAGGTGAAGAGTTCTGCTTTCCAGAATGTGTTTAACGTCTGTTGGACATTACATAAGGGAACCAGGTATTGGATGGGAAGCTAGACTGAATATCCCTAGAGTCATTTCTGATGTTGATATTGTACAATTCTGTTGGCTGGGAAATCAAACTGATTTCATCTCAGATAGATTTATCAAACAAGATTTATCTTATAGGAAGCCTTATTTTATTTATTTATTTTTTTTATTTTATTTTTTTTTTTGTGGAGGACTGAAACAGGAGGAAGCCTTATTTTAGAATAATTGAAAGTACTTTTTTTTTTTTTTTTTTTTTTGAGACAGAGTCTCGCTTTGTTGCCTAGGCTAGAGTGAGTGCCGTGGCATCAGCCTAGCTCACAGCAACCTCAAACTCCTGGACTCAAGCGATCCTCCTGCCTCAGCCTCCCGAGTAGCTGGGACTACAGGCATGCGCCACCATGCCGGCTAATTTTTTCTATATATATTAGTTGGCCAATTAATTTCTTTCTATTTATAGTAGAGACGGGGTCTCGCTCTTGCTCAGGCTGGTTTCGAACTCCTGACCTTGAGCAATCCGCCCGCCTCAGCCTCCCAGAGTGCTAGGATTACAGGCGTGAGCCACCACACCCGGCCTGAAAGTACTTTTAATACTTTATTGAATAAGTCATATATTTAACTTCATATCAACAAGATTTTTTTAAGTGCCTAGAATAGAAAGTCATTAGTTGATACCACATGTGAGACAGATTGCCAGATTCTGAGAAGAGAAAACTCTTCCTTTGAAGTGGAAGGAAAATGGATTTCAAGAGTGAATGCTTCTGCTTTCTGGTCAGAAAGACCAGGGAATCTGGTATTGTCCTGAAGAAGAGAGCTGGTGGCTTTCTTGGCCATTTGCCATCAGTGATATTTCCTACATAAACTTAAACTGCCATTAGGAGACTTGGTAAAGCAAGAATTTAGGTTATTTCATTTTCATGTGATAATCTGAATTATAACACAGAATAGCACAGAAAATGGAATGTCTTTAGTTCTTTATTTTGCATTATGTCATGACAAATTTTACATGCTTGCTATGTTGTAAAAATCTTTGATAGAGTTGAAGAAGTCTATTATCTATGAGAAAGATAAAACTGTAATTGTATGTCATCATTATTAATCATATTAGGTATCAAGGGTAGAGGCAGTTTGCTTCAAGGTGTACAGACACTGACCAAGTGGTGTTGATAGTGCTCAACTGTGAAGAAACATATTTTCCCAACTCTTCCTAGAATGGTAAAAGGAAGGAGGGTGAGGGGAGAGTGTTGGTTGATTCTTGATTGTGTTTAGATCTTGAAATAATTCAGTTTGAAGGAGAGAAACCTTATCATCAAGAGGCTCAAAAACTCTAGTGAAGGTAATATGATAAGAGATTCTCACTTGTAGCTTTATTTATTTATTTGTCCTTTTTTAAAATAGAGATGGGGTCTCACTCTTGCTTGTCTTGAACTCCTGAGCTCAAGCAATCCTCCCACCTCGAGTCCTAGGATTACAGGTGTGAGCCATTGTGCCTGGCCCAGTTGTGGCTTTATTTAAAAAAGAAGAAATAAACCCTTCTAAAGCCTGCCTCTTAGTCTTCTGATCTTTATACTTAGTGAATAATAAAAAAAGATTGTGGCTGGGTGTGGTGGCTTACACCTGTAATCACAGCACTTTGGGAGGCCGAGGCAGGAGGATCATTTGCGGCCAGGAATTTGACCCCATCTCTACAAAAAGATAAATATTAGCCAGGTCTGGTGGCATGTGCCTATAGTCCTACCCACATGGGAAGCTGAGGCAGGAGGCTTGCTTGAGCCCAGAAGTTAAAGGCTGCAGTGAGCTATGATTGTGCCACAGCTCTCCAGCCTGGGGTGAAAGAGTATTCCCTGCCTCTTCAAAAAGAAAATAAAGATTGTTAACTTTTGAGGGCTTTGAAGGTCTAGCACTGCATTAAAAACCATAGCAAGATTCTCCTAATTGCTAAATGCTGAGGGATGACAAAAATATGAGAAATCTGACCTCTTTTTGGCCGTATGGCACATTAAATGCTTTTGGAAAAAAACCCCAAAACAATAACAAGAAAGTTGCCACATTAAAACATTTAAAATGTTGGATACAATATTAAAAAAAATTTATTTTTTTTTTTAAATGCAGGGCTAGGCTGGTTTAAAAAAAGTACATGATCTCTTCAAGAGGGAAAACAAAACCAGTATACACAATCTGAGGATGTAAGCCAGCAGCTACCCTAACATGTCAGTTCTGGAATACTAAGAGCTTTAATTTTAACTATTTATTCAAGGGACTAATTACAAAGCTGGGGGTTAAAGGAGAGGGATTTAGATAGGGGACCACAGCATAAAACCACTAAATCACCAATGAAAAAATATTGGGTACTTTCTGAGTATATAATAGCTATTAGAGCAAGACAGACAAGAATTCAAATCACTAATGGTGTAACCAGTAGGTAAGTGACTTAACCTCCCAGAACATCAGGTTTCTTATAAAATATGGATAATAACATCTTTCTTTAGGATTTGTGTTGAGGAATAGAAATAATACAGGTAAATTACTCAGAATGGTGTTCACGGGAGAGTAGATGCTCAAAATGTAATGGCTACTGTTAATCATGATTGTTCAGATATATGTGTGGTTTTTTTGTGGACCCATCAGAGTTTTCCAGGGTGCCCCCATGCCTGACTAGTCAAAGTTTTAGAGGGACAGGGGGGAGCCTTTAAGCTTTCATGTTGCCTTGGATGTTGATTTCCATTTCTTCTCCCTTTCCATACCTTATAGCTGGATAAAAGTACAATATAAACCTAAAGCACACTAGGTTGTTTGAGCAGATCTACTTTTTTTTCCAGAACCACAGCTAGAAAGAAGAGAATGGTGACTAATCTAAGGAAATTTAATTTTTTCTCTAGTCCTCTAATTTATTTTTAATGTTAAGATCTGAAAGAAAAACTGTTTATTACTGGAGTCTATTAATATTAAAAAATGGGCCATTTGTCTTCATTTTTATCACTAATTTATATTTTAATTGCCAAAATATCTGTAATTAGGAAGGTATTGAGGAAAAAAAGGGATCTTTTGTATCTAGATTTTATTGTTTACTAATATTGTAAAAGTCATTATTTGAATAATAATATTTTTAAAGTCAGATTTTCTTGGTAAGATTTAATATTGTTAAAATTTATTAAATATAGTTTTCTTTAAGAAGATAGGTAGTTTGGAATCTTTCTTTTTCCTTACAACTGTTGACTCTATCTTTAAATAGAGAACTGTGAAATCAACGAAATGTTTGAAGTTTGGGTGGGTATATTCTGATGTAACTTGCTGTGACTCACCCTTCTGTATTACCTACAACTAGATCTTAGAACTTTGTAGAATTTATGGGAATTGAGAGAAAAATTTCTGCAAATTGGCACTGAAGCAAAGTTTTTTTATTTGCATAGTTGACTTTTTTTGTGTTAGCATGATTAATTTTTCCCAAAGGCAATTCTAAGTAGATTTTTTTCACAAAAAAACGCTGTTTTAAAACTCTTTTAAGAATTTGCATTTGGATTAAATCTTATTGTTTTGATCCTGTAACTGAACTCCACTGGAAAAGAATCCTCAACCACATATACTTTACTTAAATAATAGTTATATACAATTAGAGGCATTAAAAGGTCAATGTTAATTATTAATGTAATAAACTTAATTTGAAAAACTTAATTTTACCTCTTCAAATATAATAAATTAATTCCTAAAGGCCTTAGATAATCCTCAAATTCATACTTCTTGAAAGAAATAAGAAGTCAGTTATTTGATGTGCATAGAATTTATTTGGTATACCTATGAATTTCTACAATAATAAAGTGACCAGAACTGGATCACATAGTGCCCACCTGCACTCCATGTCTAAAGTGATTTATTCAGTAGGATATTTTGGAAGGCTAGAAAAGTCAAGATTTCACAGTATCAGTGAAAACTGTTTTATCATGAAATAAACTTAATACATTAGTATATTCATCCATTCCCTATCAGACAACAGCAAAGTTACATTGTTAAGTGTATTATTTACAGTGAAAACTTGGAAGACTTGACAAAGCATCAGTTAAGTTTGTCAACAGACCTAGGAAATTCCCTGGCCCCCCTTGCCTTCAGGATCCTTTCTTTGGAAATGAAATAAACTTGTTATAAATAAAACTTTATATACCTTTAAGCACCAGCTTGACAATTTAAAAATTTCTTTCAGTTTTATAAAGTATTCTTGCTTTGAAAGGCAAAGTGGATGTAAAAATATGAATGTAATTAAACAAATCACTAGCCTGGATACTTTTTACTGCAATAGTCCTGATGTTTTATTACTATATATTCACTTTCTTGAATGAATACTTGTAGCTTTGAAACAAAATATTTCCTTTTGTCTTGAAAAATTCCCTTTAAAAATTAATCATTTTTGGAACTGTACAACTGCATTTGTCCTCATAGCATTAAATATGCATCTTGGTCCTTAGAGGTCATATT